CGTAGAAATTAATAAAAATCAACATCAAAAAATGCTTGTTGATCAAAAAAGAGTACTAATCTGGACATCTAAAACGTCTCAGAGTGAACTACAAAAAGTGGACAAAATCTCATATACATGGTGTCTCCTTCAGATTGTAACAAAGTAGCAAAAACTGGCAACGAACCTCAGGACCGCCAAGATTCCGACCACCGTTTTTTCCCACTCGCGCTTATACTGTAAACTGTAAATTTGTTATCGATAAAAATAATTTGATGGTTGAAGGTGTTCACGAGAACGAAAGTTTTCTGGCACATTATTTCATTAACTTGAAATGCTTTACAAGTGCTTTACTGTATTTTGTTGTAAGTATAGAAGTGAGTGGGTAAAGAACAAGAGCGAAAGTCGGCAAAAGTCTAAAGATTTCTGCAGTAGATTAAGAGAGCTGATGAGAGGTGTCAACATACAGACTGTGATAGAAGAAACTGACTGCTTTCAAAAAACTGTCCCTCTTGTGCCTGTCCACCCCGACAATTTGGTATAGGCCTGGACAATTTTGAATCATCAGACTATACCATTAATTCATAGAGGGGTGAAGGGTATGAAAAGTCTCCCGCCAAATTCAAAGATTATTTCATCAAGCATGTATTCCGAATTGCACTTAAAAAATTGGCAAGTACCACAAATCCAGTTTGCAACCAACACTTCTCCCCCACCAAGATATTTTACAAGTCAATGGTAAATCTCCATTTCTTGTCATGTAATACTGAGCCAAGCTGACCTTCCTGAATATGCAAAACATTCTAAAACATGTCCTGATTGGTCATTCAATTTTATGAAATTTTTTTTCATGAATATGCAAAACATTCTAAAACGTGTTCTGATTGGTCATTTGGTTTTATGACATTTACTCATGAATATGCAAAACATTCTAAAACGTGTCCTGATTGGTCATTTGGTTTTATGACATTTACTCATGAATATGCAAAACATTCTAAAACATGTCCTGATTGGTCATTTGATTTTATGACATTTACTCATGAATATGCAAAACTTTCTAATTGGTTCCTTGACTCATGAATATTCATACCAAGTAAATTAGTTGATGTTCAAGTTATGCTTGTACAACAAAATGAATTCTTGGGCGACTACCAAATTTATTTCAAGAAATTCACAAGCTAGTATTCTGAATATAAGCCATGTTAAATGACGTAACATCACTGAGTTTCTTTTGGCTCTGCATCGCATGGATTGAACAATATGTTGTAAAACGCAACTCAAAGTTGGTGCTGTTTTATTCCACAAGATCATTTACAGTTTCATCACATATTCAGTCAAAAGATGATTTTCCATTCATCCGCAAAATCTCACATATTGTTTGTTTTCGTGACATCTCGGAGTGAATGAAAAATAGTTTATTTGATTAGGATTTTTATATGTAATATTTTAAAAGTACAGCGGCCATTTTGTTTTGGAATGCACCTATTCTAATTATTCACATGATTGCCAAATTGACCTTGGAAACCTAAATCTGCAAATCTTTTAAAAATACTTTATTTTCAGATAATTTATTGGTCACATGATCATGAATATGGAATAAAAACACTATTAAAATCAATTTTCTTGGTGGGGCGCGAAAAGGCTAGTCGATCTGGGTTACAAATAAATTAAAAATAAAAATGGCGGGAAACATTTAAATCTAAATGAAATAGCAGATAATTGAGTTTAAAAAGAGGAAGATAGGTGGTCTTATCTTCACACCAGACTGGATTCAGCCAGATAGATAAATTACATTGAGAGAACACACAACTTGCTACATAATTAGTTGCTACAAAAGGAAACATTGCACAATTCGGTCACAAAAAAATTTCCCTTTCTTTGTAAATTATGAATTTGTGTTACTGCAACGCTCCTCCATTTGAATATTTTTTTTTAAAAACATTTTTCCCCAAAAAAATTTGGTTTATTTAATTTCACTTATTTCAGACCTTTTGAGAGCATGTTTGTTTATAATAAACACATAATGAAATAATCATCCAATCACTCCACACTATTGCCATATATGGAAGAACTAATTACCCTATTACTACCTGGGGAACCAACATAATTGACCAATCAGAAACAAGGAGCACAAGAGTTGAAACTCAGGCATACACATGTTTCGTTCGTATCGTCAAAATAAAATTTGGTGCATCCTTAAAAAACAGACGAACTCACATACATAAAATTCTGATAAAAATGTTGGCACTCATGTCGTTTCTGCAAGGCGGCAATATAAGATCTGACACGTAGTGCAATAGTATGGAGTAACCAAGGGTGGACGTGTTAGAGGGAGTAAACAACAAACAAACTAACACCGACAGTCAGTCACAGTTCCCATTATTGACACTGAAATGCTGCCCTCAACGCCTTGGATGCACCTAGTGAAGTTAACAGCGATGACGACAATAACGCATGCACAAACGTCTGTGCTTAGTAAGGATAGTAGTGCCACTACACAAGATTGTATTCCTTAAGATTGAGCTGCAGAATGGTATCTTTAACGGCCGCAAACACAAACCTGATGTTTTCTGTGTCAGTTGCACACGTAAAATGAGAGTAGATGATCTTATCGCTGTCGGGATTGAGATCAACAAACATTCTTAGGATGAATTCTCTTGCTGCTTGTGCGTCCCTCTGTGGGCCTGAAAATGAAAAAAATATTATTAAGTGTATGGCTTGATAATCACGTGTTATGCATGAAATCGAACGTAAAAACAGGACAAACAAAGGTCATAACGTCATAGTCGCGTCAAACATCGCGTGGGATTCGACAAACGCGAAAGTATTTCGGGGACATTTCCATGCTTAATAATGTGCTGTCCACATTTGATGATAGGCAATGTCGATTAAGTAAGGGTATTCGGAAGCAATATTCCTCTGTCGAAGATCGGCCGGTCAATGTAAGCTACGAAATAAAGAAATTCTAGTTCAAAATCAAAACCGTTCGATTTTTGCGTTCGACGCGCGTCTTTCATGCATCTCGCGAGATCTCGCAATTGTACGGAAAATCACCTATTCACTGGTACGTATTCATAAACAAGGATCCATGATTATGAACAGGCCATGCTTTTTGAACGACGACCTGGGAACTCAAAATGGCTGAACAAGTTAACCTTCTTGCCCAAATTTTTTTGCACTTTTCTTTTTATAATCAATATTTTTGAAAATGAACCTTAATTTGGAGCCAATAGACAAAATTTGAGTCAATTTTCAGTGTTTACTCAAAATTTGGCTATTTTTGGTCAATCACCTGAAGGAAAGTGCAGATTATAACAGGACTATTTTTGAATTCGGGATGACAAGAGGGAACTGGTAGTGAAAAGGTTAATGCAAGTAATTAAGCTACACTATTAAAATCTTTTTAATAATTAAGTCAGTGATAATTAAGCTCTTCTGGATCTTGCTTTGAGTGAGTGATTAAGTCAAAGCAATAATTAGGGGATCTACAGTATTAAAATCTTTTTAAAAATTGAGTCAGTCAGTGATAATTAAGCTCTTCTGGATCACTTTGCATGATAAATGCGTGAAGGGATCACTCACTTAGAAAATAATGTCTGGACGATAGAAAGTCACTCCAGGCTTGTCAATCTATAAACCAAACACATCTATGAAATCTATTAGTAATCTACTAGATGTGGATACTTACCATCAAAATCAGGAAAGTAATCTACTAGATGTGGATACTTACCATGAAAATCAGGAAAGTAATCTACTAGATGTGGATACTTACCATGAAAATCAGGAAAGTAATCTACTAGATGTGGATACTTACCATCAAACTCAGGAAAGTAATCTACTAGATGTGGATACTTACCATCAAACTCAGGAAAGTAATCTACTAGATGTGGATACTTACCATCAAACTCAGGAAAGTAATCTACTAGATGTGGATACTTACCATTAAACCCAGGAAAGTAATCTACTAGATGTGGATACTTACCATCAAACTCAGGAAAGTAATCTACTAGATGTGAGGACATAATCTTTTCTTCCAGTAAATCTTTCTTGTTAAGAAATAGAATGACTGATGAATTCTGGAACCAGGGGTACGTGATAATTGTTCTGAACAACGCTTTACTTTCCTCCATTCGATTCTGTGAAACAAAGTGAAGAGTTATACACCATAGAAAAAAAAAATAGACAGAAAACATTGTTGAAAAATGTTTCAGTGCAAAGCTACTTGCAAGATTGTGCCTGATTAGCCACATCACAAATAGACCAATCAGGGAGCAGTGTTTATTGACATTCTTTTTTTTAAATATCAAAATCTGCCATGTATATATGCTTTGACTCAACTGAGCAGCACAGCATCTGTATACTGCCCTCTAGTGGCAACTTTTTCAGATCTTTCTACTTTATTACTTTCCTCGTAACAATCAATAACGAAGAAAAGATTAGCATTTTCTTGGTACTAACAGAATTTTTGTCTTGGGTTAAAACTAGACACCGTTTAATGATTCAGTAAACAATACTGTATTTGCTCTATTAGTAGTGCATGTACTTACGTAAATGACATGGGACTGTCTTTGGTCAAAATAAGTCATATTTGGAATTCAATGCAGACAATAATAAATTCCTGTGCACATGTTGTGCGCCTTTCCAGCAAGTCACAACCCAACAGTGACTGTGCTCAGTTAACTGCAAAAGGTCTTCTTACCAAACTAGTTGATTTAGCTAATTCGTAATTTTCCCAATTCAAGATGATGCAAATTTAAAAGTATATTTTCACAATGAGATTGTTGGCACTTTAGCAGGTACAGTATTAATCAGTGTAGTCATAATAATGAACACTAGAGGGCAGTGTAACATTATAGAGGGCAGTATAAGTCCAAATGCGCTAAAAATTGCAAGTAGCTGTTTTGAGTGTTTATTAGTGACGAAGACTACAACAAAGCGACCAATTTTCATCCTGTTCTTTCAGATGTGAAGTGCAGCAGCAAGGGTGTGTACGAAAATACCAACTGTTTTATTTTTTATGACGAATAATATCAAGTTTGGTTTGGTAAACGATAGATCATTAGAACAATTTTTTTTAAATATATAGTCATCCAGTTGTGCTTATTACTGTAAATGCATTAATTGTTCACTGGGTTTTAATTTCGCTATTTTCACCGATAAGTAAAATCCACCAAATTAAATCTATGTGAACATGTAAAATAACAATAAATCTCATTGTTTCCTTGACACATTCGTGAAATTAAAATACAGAGAATATGCTCAAAGTATCAAAATAGTGAAATAAAAAGTCAATAAAAGGAACTGTTTTAGAGTAAATTTTCAACAAAGGAAGAACGAGAACTGGCAGCCTGTCTACTTTGGGATATCATTAATTCAAGCGCAGAATGTGCAAGTTTCAAGTAGTGATAAAAAGTGAGACTCACCTCGTTGTCTGATTCTACTAACACTTGATCATATTCACTTAAGGCGACTAGGAACATGATGGACGTCACATTTTCAAAACAATGTATCCATTTACGACGTTCTGATCGCTGTCCTCCTACATCCACCATTCTGTAATGTAACATTGTAGCATTCAGTTAGTTTTCAATGATCTTAACCAACTTATAAACCTGGATTTGACTTTAAAAGTGCAGATTTATTGTGCTAAAACATTCCAAGTAAAAGAAAGTAATCCACATATTTAACTAACCCGCCTTGTGTGAATGCAACGCCATCATTCACAGGTTTTTGTTAGAAAAACACTGCAAGAGGAGCACTGCTGTTCCATGGCGCCATCAAGTGGGGGAGATAGGGTTCTCCCCTACCAGGGTGTGGAGTTTTTGATAATTCTAAGTTAAAATGAAGCATTCTATGGCTTCCTTGGGGCCAAAATTACTATCAGACAGGTCACAGTTGAAGACTGTGGCCACATGTGATCCCTGGTCAATCAGAATTTTATGGTTGCTGGAGGATCTGCTTCCCAGGGTAAGAGGGTACATGGCCATGGCATGAGAGCGCTGCGCCCCTGTTCAAAAAAATCTCTGATTCACATTTTCTAATATGGTATAATAAAGATACCAAGTGCAAGCTGTAACTTATGACAATAGAGTTTACAATTGCTGTCATAGCACAGTGTCAGGATGTGCGACTTTTCCACTAGTTCCCTCTTTTCATCGCAAATTCACGAAATAGTCCCGTTTAAAGTCTGCAATTTTAGCCATATTTTTAATAAGTAACAACAGAAATTTTGTCTGTTGGCTCCAAGAATATAAAAAACAAAGTGCAAAAAAGTAAAAACATTCGGATGAGAAAGTCTGGTGAGTTTTGGTCGCCGCGCAGCGTTCTGCTCGATATGGGACTCACATAGTGACGTACATAACGTGTGTAAAATACATTGTTTACATGAAATTTGAACATGCGCTCGGCAACGACCAGTACCCTTTAAGAGGTCATGCACAATTCGATGATATAGGTCGGTATTAGGTGATAAGATTTCCCACTTATTTTGAGTAGCTAACATTACTGTACAATGGAAGAGTTATAAGATTCAGCTGAAGAGACATGCAAGCGGGATAATTAACCAAATTATGCACTGACAACATCAAATAAACACTTCTCTTTCCTAATTGCACATTCCATTTTGGCAAGTTCAAGTAAAGAAGTACCGTGTCATGTTAGAATGCATGTTCTGTTCAAGTAAACAACCATCGTACATATCGTTGTTAGAATGTATGTTCTGTTCAAGTAAACAACCATCGTACATATCGTTGTTAGAATGCATGTTCTGTTCAAGTAAACAACCATCGTACATATCGTTGTTAGAACGCATGTTCTGTTCAAGTAAACAACCATCGTACAAATCGTTGTTAGAACGCATGTTCTGTTCAAGTAAACAACCATCGTACATATCGTTGTTAGAACGCATGTTCTGTTCAAGTAAACAACCACTGTACACATGTTAGAAAGTAACTCAAACCGACTCAACGTCAATTCAGTGTTGAGAAATTATTTACGTTGTCATCCCAAAACTGTGTACATTTGAATCAGAATGTTAGAAATTATAAGGTTAT